ATAAACATAGTATATTTCGGATTGAAGCCGCAATCGGTCATACCTAATAACTAAAAGTGTCTTGATGTACAAGTGAGATTGTGAATTAAGGTCAAACACCAATAATATAAAATGTAAATATAAAAATTATATTTTTTTAAATCAACGAAAACAATATAAATCAAGGAAGAACGCTATAGTCGAGTAACGCCCACAAAGCTGTGGTGCCCACAATTTTCATGCTAGATAAAAAATTTAACTGATACATGTTAAGCATTTTAATACTTATCGATTGACCAAAAAAAGTTTGCCACGCACACTCTAACACCCATAACGCTTAAATCTGTCTGCCGCCCACATAACCATATACTGAGATAGCGGGTAGGTGGTGCATTACAATCTGGCTTTGCTGCTTGCATATCATCTCCCTTTGGTCCCTTTAGCTGAGTAACGGGTATCTGATAGTCGAGGTACACGACTATAGCGTTCTTCCTTGTTTTTTTAATAGTTATAGCAATATTTCCGATGTTTCGAAAATTCGGCTGACATGGATGAGTAAGAATAAGAATGGAATTAATTTAATTAACAATTATTTTGGTACCGGAGAGTATCGAATTTACCACCTGAAAAGGTGCACACGTCAGCTAAACGCTGAGTATTCACGGCAACAATCTTCGCTCTAAGGAATCTTGTGGTTGTTCATACTAAGATAAGTCTGATCTCGTCGCTGAAAAGTTCATAGCAGTCTAAAAAAATGTATGATACTGCAAGAATACTGTTCGTAACCAATGTTACTTAACATGACCAGCACCAAACAAATCAAGCAGAAGCCAAGTTGAAAACAGTACCAGGTGCCCAGTTGCACCTACTGCAGTTGAGAAGTGCTAATCAGCATATTTTATTTAATGTCATTGCATGACTCGACGTCCTACTAACTCACCGTGCGACTCGACGGTACATTCACCTGCCAAGCGGTTAATACATTCTGCAGAGTCAGCAGAGCCAACTACGCAAACTGTTAACATAATCTAAATTCACTGACGTATTTTAAAGCTAAACTAAGCTTCCGTGTTTCAAGTAGAATATAAGCATGTAACCTATTTAAGAATAAATCAGTTATCAACGCAGTTTAGACCTCCGCGGTTCTACTTCCTACCTCCGGGAATAGGGCTCGTTATACTACACTATCTTAACTAGCATCTAACCTCGGTTAGACACAAACATCTACCCGAAACCCTAATGATAAGATACGAAAGAGCTAAAGTTCGACCCCATATTCCACGCCCATTGAACTGTCAAGTTTGGACACCCGATCAAAGCCTGCAAAAGCCACAAGGCCTTCGCCAACTGTTTGGCAGAAGCACACACCACAGAGGACACCGAATGCAACAAACCAAGGTTTTGCAAAAACTGCAAGTATGCAAGTTGTGGGCGCAGGCTTAGGCGGTTTGTGGGCGTTAGAGTGGACGTGGCATATTCGCGTTACACACTTGCGCTGCGTACAGAACTACGAAATCTTAAAATCCCAATTCTCTATCTTTGATTGTTTCCGAGATATCCGCGTTCATATTTACGGTTTTTTGAAGTTTGTGGGCGTGGAAAACTTTTTTTTGGGTCAATCGATAGGTATTGAGGAGAACAATACATTTCAGCTAAAATTTGTATTCTAGCATTAAAATTGTAGGAGTTTCAGTTTTAGGCGGTTTGCGGGCGTTAGAGTGGGCGTGGCACCCTGCCGAAACAAACGTGCGCTGCGCAAGAAGCTCAGGCCCAAATCCCAACTTGTTAGCTTTTGTAGTTTCCGAGATCTCAGCGTTCATCCGGACGGACAGACAGACGTGGTTAGATCGACTCGGCTAGTGATCCTGATCAAAAATATTTATACTTGTGGGGTCGGAAACGCTTCTTTCTACCTGAAACATTCTTTCCGACGAATTTAGTATACCATTTTACTTTTTTTCTGAGTAAGAGGTATCTGAGGTTGAGATGAGGTACTTGACTTAGTGTATTGTTTTGTAGAGAAGAGGAAGAAGGAAGAACGCTATAGTCGAACCCCTCGGCTATCAGATACCCGTTACTCAACTTAAGGGAACAAAAGGCAATGGAGATGTACAAACAGGAAAGCGAGATTGTAAAGCGCCACCTACACGCGATTTTGATAAATGGTAATGTAGGCGACAGACAGATTTAAGCGTTATGAGCGTTAGAGTGGGCGTGGCAATCTATTTTCAGTCGTCAATCGATTGATATTTTCATTGGTATAGGTTTCACGTAAAATATTTTTGACTTCTTTTTTGGGATCTACACTCATAGAAATTTTACTGTAAAATAGCCCTAAAACAAGGAAATTCGCCCTTAAATGGGGGTCAATAGCGACTGTGTGACTCTTGTTTTAAAGCAGTGGTCGGCACACACATACCATCACAAGTTTGCCTTACATTAGTGTGAGTGTAACAAACACGAAGTTTGCGCGCGGCGTGCTGTAGCGAGACGTTTCTCTGCTTTGCACTGAGATCCTCTGCCGCAGCAACAAAAAAGCGCCCCGAAGTTGAGAATAAAATGACCCGAAGACCCATGCCGAAGTCACACGAACATGTACGTTATACGTGAGCGAGCAGAGGATGGGCAGAACACTTCCCTATGCTCACTAGATAGGCCGCTGCCGACCACTGTTTTAAAGGTAAAGCGCCTTAAAAACAAGAGCAAGTTCCCTAAAAATTAAAACAAAGAAATATAAAAATATTGTGCTTGGACATGTTTGTTGGTTCTCGACCAACATTATCTGCGGTAACTTTTTCCAGGAATTTTTCAGGATTATTTTATTTAGGGAACTTTTTTTTACTATAATTTGAGATGGTAAGGGTAAGAAGGCAAGGTTATTACTCGGCCGCTCATATTATGTTGGTAAACTGCTAATTAGAACCATAAGAACTGAAAGTAATCATTAAACAGAATCAGGGAAATAAAAATAGATATCAAACAACTTATCTTTTTGAGAAAAATCTTCGTGGTCGCTGCGCGAATCGAACTCACGACCGCTGGGTCCGCAGTCGAGAGCACTACCGCTGCATCAAAGAAGCATCGCGCTAGACGACGCGCAAAAATGGTTCAAATTCTTAATTTAATTCTAAGAAATACTCTCACTAATGACAAGATATTATGTTTTATTTTACCTAATTACGATTTATCTTTTGCCCCAAAATAGGCCTCAGTTTCAGCGACATCCTCTTTATTCGTGGGAAATTTCTTACCGGCGAGCATTTTTTATAGGTCTGCGAACAGCCAGTAGTCGCTGGGAGCCAAATCTGGCGAATACGGTGGATGTGGGAGCAATTCGAAGTCAAATTCGTGTAGTTTTGTCATTGTTTTGATTGACTTGTGACACGGTGCGTTGTCTTGATGAAACAAAATTTTTTTTTCGCCATATGCGGTCGTTTCTTTGCAGTTTCGGCCTTCAAACGCTCGAATAACGCTATATAATATTCACTGTTGATGGTATGTCCTTTCTCAAGATAGTCGATGAATATTACACCACGCACATCCCAAAATACCGAGGCCATAACCTTTTCAGCAGATTGTTGTGCTCTCGGGCGCTTTGGACGAGGTTCACCAGTAGCTGTCCACTCAGATGACGATCGTTTTGATTCCATGTTCCATCCATATATCTACGCAAAAACTCCAATCGGAATCGGAATCATCAACACGTTTTTGTTTTTGGTCAACAGTGAGCAAACGCGGCACCCATTTTGAACAGAGTTTCTCATAGTCAAATGCTCATGCTATATAAAGCCAACACGTTCTTTTGATATCTTTACGATGTCAGCTAACTCACGCAACTTCAGTTTTCGATCATTCAAAACGATTTTGTGGATTTTCTTGATGTTTTCTGGTGTTACCGCCTCATTTGGACGTCCACTGCGTTTTGCATCACCGGTGTCTCTACGACCACGTTTGAAGTCAGCAAACCAACGATTTATTGTTGTTTCTGATGGAGCGGAGTCCCCATAACACTTTTCAAGCCATTCCTTCGCTTGAACGGTATTTTTTTCCATCAAGAAGCAGTGTAAAATTAAAACACGAAATTTTTTTTGATCCATTGTTTTGAAAAAACCAAAAGTAGCATCACTCTTAGCACAATAACTCACAAACTAATGAATAGAATATCAAGAAATTTTAACAGTTATCTTTTGAAGGTTAGTATTAACTGTTAAAATGGTGACCGCAACAAAACTAGCGCCATCTATGTGTTAGGCCCGGGACTTTTCAACTCATGTGGTACATTAAAAAACTGATATTTTAATGTACTATACATTTTTTTGTTTGTTATTTTTACGTGTTCTAAATTTTTTTTTGCCTTTGCACACAAAATGGTTTAAGAATTCATTTCTAAAAACTTGCACAAAAAAGAAAAATAAATATTGACTCTTCGTAGGCTCGAACTCACGCCATTTAGATGAGTTTGAAAGTTCAACGCATTAGACCGCTAGGTTACCGATTTTCAAAAGGCGATTTTCTAGTTTCAAGGGTGATTTTAGATGATTTGTTGTTCTACGAAATATGGCAATTTGCCCTAAGTATGAGAAAATATTAATAGCATAAGCTTGGAAAAATTCGCCTTAACTAATAATAAATTGGCATTTAAAAAAAATTAACCCTAAAACATATTTTCTATGGCGATTTTTCCTGTACTTAGGGCGATTTTTCTAGTACTTAGAAAAATAATTTTATGAGTGTAGGGGAACTACTATAATCCCTCTTGAGGCATTTTCAAAATATCGTTTTGAAAATTAGTAGAATTGATCATGATGTCCGTCCATATGAACGCAGAGATCTCGTAAACTATAAAAGCTAGAAGGTTGGAAAAAATGAAAATTTTCATAAGGGCTTCAGCAATATCAGCGGAATTCTTTTACCTTTTACACGCAGTATCGCTTATATTTTACAGTTAACCTTGTGATTTCGTTTTGATGTTCACCGCAAAATACATATTGTTTATCCTTACCTCTTTACCTAATTTTTAGTGTGCCTGGACGCGCTAGTGAGAATTGACAAAATGCGCCAGCAGTGCGGCCGTGTGTACACCTGGAACTGTGCCGGTGAGCTCTATGGCATCGAGTGTTCTCTGTGCGAGGAGCGGCCCTTGTGCGCCCTTTCCGAATTTGCGGAGCACATGAACGTGTGGCACACCGATTGGCAGGCGCCTGAAGCCGACAGCCATGAAGCTTCCTTATTCGGAGCCGTTCCCGAGGATGATCTCATGCAGGAGGTGCTGGCGGAGCAGCGAACCAGTGGCGAAGATAATGAACTTAAGGAACAAATTGTGCTACAATTAAATGCAATAGAGGATACCGTGTTTCCTGGTCAACCAGAAGAAAACTTGGCACAAGTAGATGAAGTAACAGACGGAATGAGAGGCGCTGGCAACAATTTTGTAAAAGAAGAAGATGCAGAATCCCATCCAATTCCAGATTCCACCGTGCAGGTAAGTGCCTGTGCTAAAAAAACTAGAGTTAATACAATAACTTCTAATTGCAATTACGTTCCCTTTATAACAATACACCTACTGGCGTTATTGCACTTTTCGATAAGTTAACATAAATTTGTCCTTCCGAACCCTTTATTTTCATGTTCACTTTCTCTGACAAATAATAAACTAGAACTTTTATAGGCCATTGAGATATCGGTTTCATTAGGTGAAGTATTTTTAAATTTCGGATATTCTACGGCACTGTTCAGCTCATTCACTTGAGCACTCATTAGAGGCATAGAAATAGACCAATATATATGACATTTATAGGGATTTGTTTGAATAAGACGGCATGATCACTTTCGCATTTGAACGTTAGCTTTAACCTTTATAACTCAAAAAACTTTAACTAGTTGATTTAAATGTTCGAAGCTTTTAAAAGTAACTTTTTAATAAGTACAAAATTATCGGCAATTTATTGTTTTTTTTTCTGCTGTAAAATCATACAATTTTAATGACTTCAAAATATTAAGGTGCTAAACAATGCTTGTACATTTTTTTAATTGTATCATCCTGGCAGAAAAAGTCTTCTTTTATTTCGGAATGCTATCATATAGTTTTGTCATTATCTATGAGTAGCAACGGACTAATTAAGACGCTAAAATACGACTTTTGTGTTTTTATTTATTTGCAGCTCTAAAATGCTGACAAAATAAAAATTTACTCGATCCAATTTTTACGCAGCTCTAATGAATGAGAAAAATTAAACTTTTTTTGATAAAATTTGGTTTATTGACCAATCGGTCCAAGTATTATCGGTTTGGTCAATTGTTCACTAGTCGAAAAATCTCATTCCTTGTAGTTTCAGCGAAGTTTTCAAAGTTCACCCGCAATGCATGTAGCATGGTCTTACTGTCAAGCAGGCTTTGACAGGGCCTTGAGGGAGCCAGATTGGGAACCTGGTTGTTCCTCTGATGCTGTAGGAAGTCGCCAGCATCCTGGCAATGGCTGGTAATGGCTCCTCCACACAGAACAAAAACGAGTCAGGATCAATTTCATATGCGCCTGGTAAACTTGTGTTTTTTAGACACATATCATTTTTACATTGAAATAATGTCAAATTGATACCAAAAAATGTCAAGTTGTCGATTTCTCTCTTTTCGGAAATTCTTTGACATCGAAAAAGAGTGGATATAGCAATATGGCGACATCAATCACTTGAGTGGAAGCAAAAAGATATATTCAAAATTCGAATTGGTCTACTTTGATCATGTTGTCTCACTTGCACTAGTGGATTTTTTGCCACTTGAGTTTTATCGTGAAGCCGGTCAGACGTACATTGTCAGTGCTTCCCTAAGTGCGCAGAACAAGGAAAAGGTGAGTAAACTTCATATATAATGTGTATATGTATAAAGTGTTATAATAACATATTAACATAGTAACATAATAAGTGGAAAAAACTAAAATCGTATGCCGTTTTCTGAGTGGCTTTTCTTATATGACAGCCCTACGACAACGAAAGCACGTGCAACTACCCTGCAGTTCCACAATATAAGCGCCCAATCATCATGAAGCCGACTGCGACGTCGGCAGAGCAGCCAGCGACGCCGGCAGAGCTGAGCGCAACGGCGGCAAAGCGACGCGCTCTCAGTCGGGGTCAGCAAAGAGAACGCACAATAAGTACTTTTGGGCCCTCCCTCTCTCGGCATGTCTCAGCTGGAAAAATGCGGGTGAAGGCAAGCCACCATTAAAATATCTCGACTTTCGTGCACCCTTGCCTTTTGAGTAATGCAACATTTTTTCGTAAATGTTAAAACATTAATTAAAATAATAGGTTTGGGATTTAAAATATTTGTATTTTCTAATAAAATGTATATGTTTATTAATATGTGAAGTTTAAAAAATATATTTTTATAAACCGATTTGCTTAGTCGAATATGTCTATAAATACCCTGCTTTTATGTGCAAGGTGCACAGACCAAACGGGACATGCCAAAAAAACAGAGCAACAACGGATTAGCGGAACCGTTGTTGTTGTTGCTTGTTGTTTTTCTGGAAAACAAGCACCTTTTTCGTCTTTTTCACTTGCGTTTACTTATGTGAAGGAGTTAGAATTACCAGCAATTAAAGTAGTTAAATAAAATAAGCCAGTGGCTTAAAAGTGATACCTATACGATTCGAAGGTTAGTCTGTCGCAGACCAATATTTATTTAAACAGTGAGAGTAAAAACAAGTAAATGTATATTTAAACAAAGGAAAATACAAGACTCTTAAAAAAACATGTGGCGGAAAAAAATAGCTGTGAAAAATATTAATTTTTGACGTGAAAAAACAACAAATGATGCATAAAAATAAAAAAATAAATGAAGCTGTGAAAGAATTTAAAAATCTTATTGAGTGCATAGTTCCTAGAGATCAAAAATAAGAGATGTTTGTTTTTAAGACTTATGTTTGTAGTTAAAATTCGTTAAAAAGTAAAATTAATAACATAAAACCACAGTTTTTACTTTTGTGTACGTGAACAAACATGGCTATTTGAAAAAAGTCTCAGTTTTTAGTCCCTGGAAAAGTGTTAGTTTTCCCGCAAATGCAAAATAAAAAAAAATTTTAATAAATAATACAAAGATATATTAATAACGTGTGGTATATTTTTCTTTATAATTTTTTACAAAAGAATTATTCTCTTGTTTTTTAAAATTTAAGCTTTAGTATATTTGTTTTACAAAAGAATTCTGCTCTTGTTTTTTAAAATTTAAGCTTTAGTTTATTTGTAAGTTTAATTTTTAAAAGAGTTCTGTGATTTTCTTTAAAAGCAAAAGATAACATTTTTTTTTATTATAAATAAAACTTACAAACTTACAAATATTTTTTATTCTCATCTCGTTCTATTTTTAAAACAAATTTTTCTTCTCGGAGCCTCCCGAAGAGGCGCTGCAGAAGGCAATGCGGTGCGTTAAAAACTTGAGTTGCACAAAAAAAAGGCAACGCCGGCCCCAGATGCTGAAGAGCCAACGACCCCGATAACACCGGGAACCCCCGATCTGAAATGTTAAAATAAATAAATAAAAATAAAAATATTAAAACTGAAATTATGTTTGCTGCTAAGCGCTCAACGTGTGCTGAATGTGTTCTTTTTCTGCTGCTTAATCGAGCGCTCAACATGTTCTGAACGTGTGCTTTTTCTGCTGTTTAAAAAAGCGCTCAAAAGGGTGCTCAAAAAAGAGCTCAATGCGTGCTATGAACCCTAGGACATGTCTATGTTAATTTAAGCACTCAGTTCCATACAAACTGTGCGCTCATTGAGCGCTCAGTGATGAACTTTTTGCAGTGAGTGCTCAATAAGCGCTGAATGGTACTGCAGGGTACCTTTTTGGTGCACACAGGCGCACTCCTGGGTATATCTTACAGGCGTGTTTTAAATAAATGCGTACAAAATGTACATTTTGGGTGCATACAGACGCACTCCAAATACGAGTATGTGAACCTAGGTGCATGCAAGAGATACGTTCATTTTTGCATTAGAATAGGACGACTCATCACTTTCGGTACTGGTTTTTGGTGCCATTTCATCCAAGAGCCAAAAACTTTGAAAGTCGAAAAGGTTTTTCTGCGCAGGGCAGCAGAAAAGAGCATAACTTGGAGATGGAACATTGAAAAAATCAACGACAACACAGTGAAGGGCTAAAAAATAATAACAATTTTTAAATCGCACTAATAACCTATTTAAAATATATGTAAAATACACATTTATTGTTTTTTTAACTTTTCTAATAGCAACAACATTCAGTACTACATTTAATTTAAAAGATTAGGTAATTAAAAACAAAAAATTAAAAATCAAAAATATTCAAAAAATATTTTTTTTTAATTACAATTCACTTATGTATTTTCCTATATATTGTGATCACATAAAAACAAAGAAATCACAAAAGTGGAAAAACAAAAACAATAAAATATATGTCAAAACTAACAAACCTTAAAAAGTGAAACAAAAAAATAATTAAATGGAAATACAACAGCATTTAAATAAAGATAACAAAAATAAATCATAAGTCTACTGCGGGATTCGATCCCCATAAAGCTTAGTTTGGTTGTCAAATGTGTTATTCTCCAGGCCGAATGACATGCAGGCCCTCGGCCGACTAGATTCCAACTAGAATAGAGCGTTGCGGGCTCCACTGCTAGAGCCCGCGATACAACAGAATATATTGTATGACATGTCCCTTCTATGTATTCATACTCTTTGCTCTTACTCTACGAGTAACGGGTGTAATCATCAATGACAAAAAGAATTAGCATTTAAATCCTGAAATATTTGTTATCCTAACGACGTTTCCAATCTTTTTCTTCAGGAAATATTACCCGTTCCGGAGGGCCAGCGACTCACGACACAGCATGTGCATCGCCTGATCGAGCTGTACCATTTGGAACCTCGCCTCTGGAACCAAGCGCATAAACAGTTCCACAACATGGCACTGTGCCGCGAGTCCTGGAAGCGGATAACGGATGCCTGGAATGCGTACTGCGGCCGCAGCTTTAGCGTTACGGACGTTCGGATTCGGGTGTCAACCCTGTGTCAGAGATTTCTCAAGCAACGGGAGCGTTTAGAGGCGGATGGCGAAATGGATGATGCCGTCAAGTTCGCGCACTTTGACCAACTGAGCTTCCTGTGCGAACAGCAATCGCTGTTAAAACGGCAACGTCATTATGTCCGGGAGAACCGCAGGCTACTGGAGCTATACGAGCACTATCCGGTTTTATGGCACAATGCACATAAGCGTGTGCGTTGCGTGAATACCGTGCGCCAAAGACAAGACGCTCACCTGGATCTACAGTTGGCATTGAGGCTATCAGGAATTAGCCTGTCCACCGTGGTTATCCAGCGACGCTTGCAATCGTTGCGAAAACGCTATCGCATGGAGAAGATAAGCTATCTGCAAAGTGTGGTCGAGGGTAAACAAGCAGAGTTTGTATCCAGTTTCGAGCACTACACGGAAATGGAATTCCTGCACAAGCATATCGATCCATATGTGTGTGCTGTGTGCGGGAAGATCTTTGAGAACCTGATGGGTCACCAAACACATGTCAAGAGCAGCTGTGAGGTGATGATAAATGGTAAGGAAGAGAAACACGGGGAGAATCAGCAGCTGAAAAAACACTTAAGGGATGATTTAAATGAAAATATGGAGCTAGCTGAAAAGGTTACAAAACAAACAGTTGTTTTTTTAAAGAAAAAGCTTGGGGAACCCGCTATTGACACTTTATTGGTGGATGATCCTCCAGAGAAGCATCCCACAGATTCGCAAGATCCCCGTCCGCTTAGCCTGGCTGAGGCCTGTCACGTTATCGAATTGAAAGATCCCATAGATCCGGATACCTCCTCAAACGTTATTGATAATAATACCGCAGGCCGAAAACTACGTCTTCGTTTGAGTTTTTCAGAAACGCAAGACCTTATCCGACAGTACCGATCCCACATGTGCCTATGGGATCCCAATCACCTTGACTACCATTCCCGCAGACAACGTAGACTGGCCTGGCAAGCCATTACGAAGGAGATGAACTCGAAAGAGAGAAAACGATTTACCCCGAAGATGTTGCACCGTAAAATCACGGATTACACGAAGTACTACCGCATGGAGAAAGAAAAAAAAAACGAGGAAGTATCCTCCAATTGGAACCTGTTTGAGGAACTCCGCTTCCTGGATGAAGCACTGCCCATCAGCAGCGAGATGCAGAGGACCCTAAACCAACGGGAAAGCAATATGAAGATAATAGCTGTATACCAGGGCTATGCGCAGCTCTGGTGCACTGATCACCCGGATTACACTAAACGAAGGCAGCGAAAACGACAACTGGAATCCTTATGCACCAGACTGCAAGAAGAATTTAATCTTCAAATGACGGTGGAACGGCTTAAGAGTCGCCTTACTGAATTCCGTTGCCAGTACCGCCATTGCAAGGAGGCCCGAATGGAGGCCCAAAAGAAATCGGAATCATGGACCCCTAACTACGAGTATTATGAACCGTTGCGCTTTCTGGAGCTTCACGTGGCTCCCTTCCAGTGTCCGAGTTGTCCGGCATCTTTTAAGAGACGATCAGATTACCTACAGCACGAGAGGAATGTTCATGGCGATGTGGAAAAGTCACTGAACGGGGAGTTTTATTATATGAAGCACCGCAAAAGTAGGAAAATTAACGATGAGCAGCAGGATCCGGACCTGGCAAACATATGTCACATTTGTGGACTGAAGTTTTCGCTGAGGAATAGCCTATTGGCCCATTTGCGTCGTCACCTGGGCCAGAGAGCCCACGCCTGCACAGACTGCCCTAAAAAGTTCTTTAGCTCGAATGCTTTGCGGGTCCACCAGAGAAGTCACACCAAAGAACTGCCCTACGTTTGCGAGCATTGCGCCAGAGGATTTGTGAATGCTAGCAAGTTGAATCAGCATGTCAAGCGCCACCGAAACCAGCGCGACTTTCCCTGTAATAGATGCGATAAAGCTTTTTTTACGGCCCATGAAAGGGACCGACATTTACGAGCTCATCTTAACATTCGAGACAAAGTGTGTCCATACTGCTCGCGGGCCTTTGTGGTTGGAAGTGCCTACTACGCCCATTTAAACCTCCATCGCAACGAAAAGCGCTACTCATGCGCATCCTGTGGCAAGCGGTTTGCCCAATACGCCGGGCTTTACAAGCACCGCAGGCGATGTCTACCAGCAGAAGTCATAGAGGTGTGATCCTTACGAGGGAATCTCCTTTGCTTAATTTTATAAAAATATCCCCACAAAATGTCTTTAAACTCTCAATGTTTTTGAATAAATAAAAGAACGCGGGACCGATTTTGTATGAACCGACGATTCAAAAACCAAACTCCTAAATACCTTTAGTATTCGTGTAACCGCCTAAACAACTTTGCAAAAGGGTGTTCTTGGAATGATACATTTATGTGCCTGGTACCTCAGCCTTGGATTAGCTCCAGCCAGACTGTTTCTGTACGTCCGTATGAACGTCGAGATGTCAAGATCTATAAGAGCTAGCAGCTTGGGATTAGGCATGCATTGCCGAGTGCCACGCCCATTCGAACGCCTACAGCTCGCAAACTACTGTTGCAGCATTGTAGACTAGGGGTGCTCAAAACTGCCTTTTGGCAGTGCATTTATAGTCACAATTAAAATTATATTTGGATTAGCGATAAAAAAAATGGAAGCATAGTGATAAAAAAAAAAGCTCAATGTGAATGTTTTTGCCCTTGCCCCGTCATATTTAGAAGAGAAAGTGACATAAAGAAGAATTAACGTGCGACTTGAAGGCTGTAGGCTTGTAATCTGCATTCTTTAAGAAATCACTAACACAAATGTGTCCCGTATGCATAGGGCTTGGTCAAACCAACCTACTACCTTAAGTTATTCAAACATTAAGATTAACAGCTCTCACATGCTAACAGGTGAAACTGAAAAAACTTTGATTTAACAGGAAAATATCGATAAGCATCCTTCCTCTGGTCGAAGATATATTTATTTAGTTGGTTAGCAGGTATCTTATAGTCGTGTCAATCTATTATAGTGTTCGCTCTGATTATATCCTTGCAGAGGGTGTTATGATTACAGTCAGGAGTCGTTTCCGACCCTATAAAGCATACATTTTTAAGAAATTTTGCTTGCCGAAGCTAGTTTCTTTCATTTCTACGAGTTGTGCGGTTAAATGGGAGTGTAGTCAAAGCAAGAGAAAACGCTAATGGCGATGGGTTCGACTTTCAGATACCCGTTACTCAGCTAAAGGGAGTGCGAGAAAGATGTATCTATTTAGGCAGCAAATTGGCTGTTTCCGAAATTGAACACCACGCCAACACGTCACCTTGTATCTATTCCTTTATTTGCTTATAATTTTTTTATGAATAGTCAGTTTTTTGCCACGTATATGGGTACAATATCCCATTTAGAATTTTACAAATTCTTCAAAGACGGGTTTTAGCGTTATTGGCGTTAATGTGGGCGTAACACACCCCGCTGGAACAAACTTACTACTTCGCAGCGCAAGTGTATTTCAGCGCCCACTCTTACGCTCACAATCCGCCAAAAACTGTGACGCCTACAGATTTAATGCTAGAATATACATATTGCATTGGTTCAATCAATACCAATCGATTGGCCCAAAAGAAAATTGCGCCGCCCACTCCAACACACACAAACTTTATTAACCTTAACATTAACCCTATTAAGAAATTAAGAAAGGCAATGATATCAGAGCCAGGCAACGACGTAAGTATGTGTGCATGTGTGTGTGTGAATAGTTGCAGGCAGTATGGCGGGGCAAAACAAAGAAACTTTTAAACAAAGGATCGAATAGCCACTATTTTATTGAACAACTAATATAAACGTTTAGATATAGTACGCTTTAAGATTGTTATGTTTAGCAAGATTACATTTATATAAATGTTTTTAGTCTTTTTAATTTATTGGTCTTTCTTTCTTGGCGCTATCAGAAACATAATCTGGTACAGAAATATGGGAGCAAAAAGCGCTGCCAGCGCTGAGAGATAAAGTCTAACCTTTTCTTTTCAATAATAAATAATTTAAACTATTTACCTTTTTTCTAGTTCTCTCTCCCTAATAAACGATTACCAATTTCATTTATCTAATTCCGAATTTAATATAAAATTTAAATTGCTAAAAAAAATACTGGTAGCGGTTAGGGTGGGGGCTTCTCGCTCTTTGCATTTTCTCTCTCCACAGTGACCTGAAGTGCATTCACTTGCGCCAAAAAGATGCGGAAGATGTTTACCCAGTGTTGCAAAGCACTAAAAGGCAGAAAAAGGACCGAAAACCCGTGCACGTAACTTTGTCGTCTAAAATCTTTACAGCGCTGTAAATCTTTATATTTCCTCAATAGTCTACGATTAACTCTTCTATGGCGAAACTTTTGCCCGTATGCCCAAGCCGATTTTTTTTGCAAATTTTTCAAGAGTCTTCCAATTTTAAAGCGGTCATCTTAATGTAAATTAACTATTTAACAAGAAAGGATGTTAACTTCGGCAAGCCGAAGTTTGTATACCCTTGCAGTTATAATTATTAAATTTAAAAATACAAAAAACTACATTCCCAATAGTATAAGATGATCAGGATATTCCCTAAACTGTTGAATTGCTGAATTGTTTTAAATTCAACAGAAAATTTCAGCAATTAAGGGAACGACCCTAAAAGTTCCCTGTTGAATATTTAATTTTAAGATGTCAGCTGTTTGCAGATTGTTAAATTGCCAGGCCGTGTTTACCAAAGATTAAGTTTAAAATTACCGACAATGTCGAGAGTAAGCCAAAAAACTAAACTATTAGAACTTCTAACAGGCAGCATCCTATCAGATATCCTTTATTTGAATATTTGATACGATTGCAATTCCTCCATGTTTACAAGTGACCAGAGCCCCGAGGCTGTTGAATTGCTGAAATTTCTGTCAGTTGACTTTGTATGGAAAAGCTGATTAACAGCTGACCAAAATTCAACAATTCGGCAATTCAACAGTTTGGGGAATACGCAGAATATGTGAAAAACACCGAAGCTATAATTTGTTCCATTTTTTTTTCCAACAATTTTCCGATCGTTTCTATGGCAGTTATATGATATAGTCGTCCGATTTTGATAAAAGTAAATTCGAAATTCAGAACTAATTAAAAATGTTATTTCCAAGCTTGGAGGTTACATGTTAAAAAACACCAAAGATATAATTTTTAAAATTTTTTTTCCGTTTATTCCTTTGGGAGCTTAAGATATAGTTGTCCGATACGGCTGGTGCAAAATAAAGAAGACTAAAGAAGATCGACTCGTCTAGTCATGCTGATCAAGAATGGGGTCGGAAAAGTCTCCTTCACTGCGTTGCAAACTTCTGACTGAAATCAATATACCCTATGCAAGGGTATAAAAACTAAGTAACGGGTATCTAATAGTCGAGACACTCGACTATAGCATCCTCTCTTGTTTTTTGATCAATATACCCTTGCAGAGGATCACTAGACGAGTCGATCTAGCTATGTCCGTCTGTCCGTCCGTTACTACGCAAACTAGTCTCTCAGTTTTAAAGCTTATTTTGCAGGTAGTATATAAGTCGGAACCAGCCGGATCGGACAACTATATCTTATAGCTCGCATTTTTTTTTAAATTATATCTTTGGTGCCTTTTAACATACGCTTGGAAATAACATTTTCTATTTAGTTCTAAATTTCGAATTTAATTTTATCAAAATCGGACGACTACAGCTGCCATAGGAACGATCGAAAAATTGGTGAGAGAATAATATGAAACAAATTATAGCTTTGGTGTTTTTTGACAAAAAAATAAATAGTTTGGGATCAATAAATCCTGAGCACGCCGACGATGAAATTTCCGTCAGTAAAAAAGTTAACTGTATAATTTCTAAAAATCCTAAAAACCCCGACGTCGATTCATCCGTCAACAAAAAATGAACGCGAAGCAAAACTAACAATATTAATATGCAAGTACCAATCGAATAGAAGTACTGGAGAATAAAATTATTGACGTAATCGAGGAAGAACATTCAAAAATAAATTTACAAATTCTATTTCGAACCGATATTCGAAGTGAAATAAACACCGAAGATGTCAGGGCTATTTATAGTAAACAATATCCTTATGCTTTATCAGTTTCAGATTTCGTTAGTACTGAAATCAATAGAATGCTTAAGGAAAATATTATAAAAAGAAGTAGAAGCCCTTATAACTCACCAGTGTTAGTGGTACCCAAGATAGGACAGAATGAAGATGGCAGTCCCAAGCACAGACTAGTGATAGATTCCAAAAAACTTCACGAAAATTCTATACCGGACAGATACCCGATGCAAGACCCGTCTGTAATATTAGCTAATTTAGGAAAGGCTAAACACTTCTCAACAATTGATTTAGAATCTGGATTCCACCAAATTTTATTGAAGGATTCAGATATTGAAAAAACAGCATTTTCTATTAATAACGGAAAATTTGAATTTTTACAAATGCCTTTTGGGTTAACAAACGCACCCAGAATTTTTCAAAAAGCCATGGATGATATCTTAAGAGAACAAGCAGGAAAAACTTGCCATGTCTATATGGATGATATTATTATTGAACAACATTATGCTGATTTAAAAAAAATTATTAATATTTTACAAAGAGCTAATATGAAAATTTCACTCGTAAAATCTAAATTCTTTAAATTAGAAACCGCATTTCTTGTATACATTGTTTCCCATAACGTAATTAAAACGGATCCTAAAAAATTGCCACAATTACAAAATTTCCAATTCCACGCAATATTAGAGAACTCCTAAGTTTTCTAGGCCTAACAGGTTATTACAGAAAATTTGTCCGTAACTATGCAAAAATTGCTAAGCCATTAACAAAATATCTAGGTGAGAAAAATGGAAAAGTTTCTAAAAGAATGTCTACAAGAATGTCAATACAGTTCGACGAATCAGCTGTACAAGCTCTTAACGAGCTAAAAGAGAATCTAATAGCACAAGTTGAATTAGTTCAGACAGATTTTAGTAAGAAATTCGTTTTAACAACAGACGCATCAGACGTAGCTATCGGGGCAGTACTAACACAAGATAATAAACCAATTACGTCTATTTCTAAAACACTAAACAAGACGGAACCGCTTTATGCCACAAGGCTTTAAAAAATCTCCGAAATTATTGGCATAGAAATACAAACGGACCATTAATCCTTATCGTTCACAATTTCGGAAAAAAATCCAACCGTAGAAATGAAAAGACGGTAATCTTTCATTGAAAGTTTTACCCCGAAAATAATATACAAGCCCGGAACAACAAAGGTTGTAGCCGATTAATTATCACGGATACAGATAAATAATACATGAGTC